AAGGCTGCGAAACGTCAATAAATAAATAAAGTTTCGTGCATTAACCCGTAAAAACTAGTTTTATTTAACTTATCTTAATATACTAGAAATGAATAGTAGCGACAAGGAGCCAATTACAGGTCATCACATCTAGACACTTAAAGTTGTAAAGAAACGATTTGCACTGTCCAATGTAAAAAAATCTCTTAAATATAGTTTTATAAATAAGGTACTTATGATAAATAACAGAATAACAAATTACACACATGTTAAATACATACACTTGTCTATGGAATTAAAGTTTGGAATAACTGTTTATTATTATTATTATATTAATTACTAGCTGACCCAGCGAACTTCGTACCGCCCTAAAAAAATAGGGGTTGTCCAGCGGACAAAATTGTGAATCTAAACCATTCTCAGATCCCCTTGAACACACCCAAAAAATTTCATCAAAATCGGTCCAGTCGTTTAAGAGAAGTTCAGTGACATACACACTCACAGAAGAATTATATATATAAAGATAATCTCCAAAAAACAAACGAGCAATGATAATTGTAAGTGCACATTAACTGGTTGAGTTTAAATATAATCTTTTTAGGGTTCTGTACCCAAAAGGGAAAAACGGGATCGGGAAAATAATTATTTAGAATGAGAAAATTATATTTTATGTATGAAAATCATTTCTTTAGTGATAAAAATCAAGGAGTGATCATTGATTCCACTATTGCACCGCAAGACAGGTCATGAACAACTGCTGAATTGCCCGATCTTCACACCCCACCACTTAATAAAAACGTGTGCGGGCGTGACGTCAGCAAAGAGCCAATGTTGCCATTACATTGTAAAACAAAACTTCTAAAAATCATTACTTACATAGTAAATGAAGATGTTAAGTCTATGTTTTTTTATTTATTTTTAAGCATTTAACTGCTAGATGTTTAAATCTAAAGAAAAGTTTACCAGAAAAAATCCACGCGGACCACGGTGTCGATTCTGGCATGATTCTCTAAACCTAAACGTAAATTTGACAACAGTGTATCCTTGTCATTCTCCATACAGAATGAAAAGGAGAGACTGATGTTAAATTTAGTTTTAAGTTTAGAGAATCGTGTCAGAATCGATACCAATGCAGCGGACGGGACTCGAACCCGCACCCTTCGCTATCCGGGCGAATGCATTGACCATTATGCTGCATTATGACGCGGCGAATAGGGCCGTGGTAGCATAATGGTCAGTGCATTCGCCCGGATAGCGAAGGGTGCGGGTTCGAGTCCCGTCCGCTGCCTGGTCCGCGTGGATTTTTTATAGTAAACTTTTCTTTATGTTAAGTCTAACTGGCTGCACGGACGCAGCGAGTGTTTCTGATCTGATAGATGTCTATCGTGGGTGCCAGACAGTGACGTGACGTATACAACAGACGTTCGGAATACAACAGAATTTACTATTTCAGTGTGAGCAGGAATTTCAAACATTGATAGATACCTACCTTTATTCTCTTTTCGAAAGTACATATAGTTCAGGAAATGGAGTTTAAAAAAATGGAAAAAGTAAATAATAAATAATCTGATGAATTCTTTTTGCACTACCTTCTTAAGATCTTTGCTATAATTCTCCGGTTGACTGGTAGAGAATGTCTTATGGCATTAAGTCGGCCACTTATACACTAATTTGTGCAATAAAAAAAAACACTCAATATTTACATCCTGCATCGATTTGCATAAAAAATCGGAAGTAGGCTCGTCTTACTCCCTACTTTAAAATCTATGTCATTCCGATGGGCGCCAATCGTTTTTTAAGGGAGAAAAATTACCCCTAAAAATTGTTAAAATCAAAATCTTAGGCTAGATAAAATTTGGTTTGGGTGAGTTCAATAGTTATTGTCTTTGAAATACAATTTCAGAATATTTTAACACTTAAAAATCAATGCTTGTTAGAGCTTACTGAAAAAAAGATTTTAGTAGATTCCCCAAAAGTATTATGAGCTTGACAGAGTTATTAATTAAAAATGTTAGTGTCTGATAAATTACCAATCTCATTAAATATTTTCAACCCTTATAAGCTACCCCTTACAATACTGCAATTTTTATAAACTGAGATAGGATAAGATAATTATTTATTGTACAGAATTGTGTACAAATGGTTCCTAAAAACTTCCTGAGACCAGAGCTCCGATTCGAGAGGAAATTCCGCTATGCCCCCTAGCTCTCTAAAATTGCATTTCTCTAGAAAAAAAACCATTACAAACAATTTTCACACAAACACCCACGTTAAAGTTTGGAATATTTATATTATTATATATGGAATATTCTAGTCCAAGTTATTTTCGAATCCCATTGTTAAAATTTGTTTACATATATTTTTATCAACACCTACTTACTGTGCAAGTGAAGGTTGATTTAATTGTGGGTGTAATACCTTAGGCACGTCGCGCACTAGACAGCCACGACCAGGTCGAGTAGCCAGAACGACCAGAAAAAGCATACGAAAGTTACGCACTGGGCGACTGGTACAATTGACCGCAACGGTCATCTGGCTACACAGCGGGCGAGCAGGACTGGTCATTGCAGCCAATTTTTGTACATATAGTTTCACATGAGCTCTCCCACACCAGCCCCTCTAGCATGACCACGGAAACGGGATATGATAAAGCGATATATCGGCATTAACTGTCAGACTACTGTCAGACTCCATTGTATTCTGACAGTTAATGACAATATATCGCTTTATCATATCCCGTTTCGGTTGTCATGCTAGAGGGGCAGATCTGCGACCGCAAAAGCAGCCAGGTGACGACCAGCCATTTTTGGTGTCATGCGGACAATTCGTGAGTGAACCCGCTTCGTATCATTCCTTAACTCAATACGAAGACTTATTTTCTGCAATGAGTTTTGATACAGAGTGATTTGTTAATAAAATAAAGTGGCGAACAGCACTGTGGCCTCTTTAGGACCGGTCGTGTCGTAGATGCAAACTTAGCTGCAGACCAAGCATTTCTTCTGCGACCAAGGTTGCGGCCACGGGCTAGTATGCGAAGAGCCTTACCCCACTCGAGCCATGCCCAAATTTTTGTTCATATGAAATTTTGTTGCTAAGGTAACATGTCTAGCCAGCCAGCCATACGATGTAATATTAAAAGTAAATCGGCAACCAACGACAAGGTTATGACGAATGGAACCGAATACGTAAGTACAAGCCTTTCAAAATATTTTTAGTAACATCCCACGATATCTGTAAATATTTCTGTAAATTTCCTTTAACTATGACGTCAACAGTCACATCTTTGTAGGTATTCATAAGTAAATTGATGTTAAGATAAGTTAAGCTGTTAAGATATGTAGCAGATTTCATCATCGGCCTCTTAAAGTCCCCAACTGCTTAGGCACTGGCCTTCCCTACGGATCAATATGCAATTATTATCTGCTAATTTGAAGAGCTCAATAGCTCAAGTGGCTAGCGCATTACGCTGCGAGCGTTGAATTTAAACAACTTTCGCAGTGGTCGGTCATTGGATGGGTGACCGAAAATTTACTATCTCGAGCTCCTCCGTGCTTCGGAAGGCACTTGATAGATCACTATGTCAGTCAGTCACCTTTGAGTGTTATATCTATATATATATAATTCTTCTGTGAGTGTGTATGTCACTGAACTTCTCTTAAACGACTGCACCGATTTTGATGAAATTTTTTGTGTGTGTTCAAGGGGATCTGAGAATGGTTTAGATTCACAATTTTGTCCGCTGGACAACCCCTATTTTTTTAGGGCGGTACGAAGTTCGCTGGGTCAACTAGTATCTTTATATATATAATTCTTCTGTGAGTGTGTATGTCACTGAACTTCTCTTAAACGACTGGACCGATTTTGATGAAATTTTTTGTGTGTGTTCAAGGGGATCTGAGAATGGTTTAGATTCACAAAGACGTGTAGACAGGACAATGTCTGTCGGGTCCGCTAGTATAGATATGTAATTACACAAAACATAGTATCTTATTTTGTACAGATAATGTTACGGAACCCTTCATTCGCGAGGCCCACTCGTAATTGGCCAGTTTTTGTCTTTATATTTATTCTATTCCATAATTAAGGTCCAACGTTAAGTCCGGCCAGGTACAATGTGTTTTAATATCCCTTTTTCCCATTTAACCCATGCATGCTTTTGTTTTTTTTTTAATCTAATTTAAACTGTGTCAAATCAAATTAAAATAAACATTCTGACGCAAGTTGATACTATTTTTCATTGATTGAGATAAGAATGTTCGCAGCTCGCGTAGTTATTTTAGTAGAAATAATTTCCTGATTATAAAACGAATTAATATGATAATTTACTATGTTTACGTTTGTTGCGTTGCTTATCTATCTTTAATTATAAATCGGTAGTCATTGTCAAATTGTTAATGTTTTACGTAAGATATGATAGGTATTTTGACAAAGTTTAGATATTTATTATTTGACGACCTCCGTGGCCGAGTGGTTTGTACGCCGGGTTTCATGGTGTCACCGACTTCAGAGGTCCCGGGTTCGAATCCCGGTGGGGGCAGATGTTTGTGTGATGAATACGAGCATTTGTACTCCAGTCATGGATGTTTAATATGAATTTCTATACAAATATACTTATATATGTACAGTATATGTATTCTATCCGTTACCCTAGCATCCCATAACACAAACCTTACAGTGCTTACTTTGGGTCTAGGTTAATTGGTGTAAGTGTTGGAAATATTATTTATTATTTACTATTATTATTATTAGGATTGGTAGATCAGACTATTTTGTGTCGTGATGAATTTAAATATGTGACGTCTTCAACTAAATGTCTACATTTCCTTGTAATTTAACAAAGTCTGATTCTGCGTTAAAAGTATGGTTTTTAAAAAGAACGTGCAAAATTTTCCCAGCATCTCAAATCATCTGTCACATGTAGTGTTATCAGAAACTTATCTTATTTGCTTGGCGGCCGCATGCTAACGATAATAAGGCTCGGATTGATGGGCTGATAGCGCGATAAAACAGTATTACCACAGCGACCATGACCAGCGTAGCTCTAGTCGTTGGCGCCGCTAATAATCTAGGTTACCAGGTTTTAAAGAAATTGACAGAAGTATACAAAGGCAAGATTTACTTCACAACAGAAGAGGAAACATTGGGTTACAACGTTTCAAAAGCTTTGCATACGAAAAGAAATGATTTGCACCATATACAAATGGATGTGACTTTCACGAAGAGTATTATCAAACTGAGGCACTACATTCAAGATAGAGATGAGAGGATTGACTTGTTGATAAACTGCATAGATTACGTGCCGGAGAAAAAATTAACGCACGCGGAGAAAGTTAGAAGAACGTTGAGTGTCAACTTTTACGGTTATATAAACTTTGGAAAATTAGTGTATCCTATTTTAAATGAAGATGCGAGGGTAGTGAACGTCTCCGGACCTGCTGGTCTGTTGGCAACTATAGAAAATGAAAGCATCAGACAGAGAGTAGGTAATCCTTCGCTGACAGAAGATGAACTTGTTGCTATAATGCAGGACTATGAAGAAGCTGCCAGGAGAGGCGAAGATCGAACCCTAGGATGGGGCATAAATGTCCACGCGGTTAGCAAAGTCGCTCTAAACGCTGTAACATTTCTGCAACATAGGCAATGGAGTGACAAAGGCGTAGTGATTAACTGCGTGAATCCTGGTAACCTGTCAACTAGGGAGAATAGGAGGACGTCGAAAGTCTTCGAAGATGGTGCCAAAGCAATTTTGTATCTTGCGTTAGAAGCGCCCTTGTCGATAAAGGGCAATTTCGTATGGAGTAATTATTCTGTGATAGAGTGGAACTGTGATCCTTATGTAGAAGTGTCAACGGTCTGAAATATTAGTGATTGAGGAACTTAAGGATTTATTAAACAAGTTGGTGTTTATATAGCATTGAACTTGGTTATCGTGGACCAAGTTTACATAGATGGTATAGTTTAGAAAAATACTTATTTATTTGCTCCTATCGAAAACAGAAATATAATAATAAATATGTATGATCGTACAATATCAATATTCCTAGTTGGGAGTTTATTTAATTATTATAAAAGGCAATTTTGCAACCATACCATATGATGAAGCTCTTGATTTAGAATGAGTTACAAATAAAATGCAGCAAGAATAAAAAAATGACAGCAATGTTAAGAATAAATTCTGAATGAATGTTGACTTTGTCTTTTGTGTTAATTTAGTTTGCTTAAATATACTGGAGAATATTTTAGTTATTGTTTTGCGGAACGTGTAGATTTATCCAACCAATAGATAATAGCCGGACGATAATAGCTTCGTAGCTGATATAATATTCCTAGTGACAATAAAAACAATTTAACGATAATATTTCTCTTCACATGGTCCTCATTTTATCAAATTAAATGTATGTATGTTAAATATATGAATGTCAATACTTTCCACGCTTCAATCGAATATTTTAAAATTTAATAAAATTAATTAATAAGTTGTGTTTATGTTTATATTTATTTTTTAAGCATTTAAATGCTAGATGTTTAAATCTGAAGAAAAGTTTACTAGAAAAAGGGAATTTCGTCTAGAAATTCTTAGGCTGCAAGGCCAATCTCTTCGCATTGTAGGTAACCCAGCACATCATCCATTACCACAACCCATTTTCTTTAGACTTAAACATCTAGGAGTCAAATGCTTAAAAATATTAATAGTTATTCGTTTATCGTAAACTCAACAGTGCTACATAAACTGGCTTCGTACGTATACAGATATATAATAAGTGTTCAGTTATATTGTTTGTTAACTTGTCGTCACGAGTCACATCCACGAGTTTTATTGCCTGGATCGCTTTTACGGCTCCAGTCGACGGCTGACGACGCCAACGTTTATACCAATTCAGATATTTAATGCAGTTTCGTGTCAAGAGAGCATGGTACCTATATTCCCGTCTCCCTGTTAAAGGAAGACAAATTGAGCTATACACGATCGAGGCGTCGACACTAGCTCCCAATATTCTGATAATAATATTATGAAATACTAAAATAATGGATTATTCCAGGCGGGCACTGTAGGGTGTTTAAAGTTTAGTTGATCCCTGGATTTCTTCAATAGGAATTATATTAAAATTGTAAATGGGATGTTCTGTTTTCACCGACAGTGATTAGGATTTAGCCATGAAAACTTTTATATTTTTGTTTTTATTTATTTTTAAGCATTTAACTGCTAGATGTTTAAATCTAAAGAAAAGTTTACTAGAAAAAAATCTACGCGGGCCAGGCAGCGGATGGGACTCGAACCCGCCCTTCACAATCCGGGCGAATGCACTGACCATTATGCTACCACGGCCCTATTGGCCGCGTCGAAATTTTCCTAGCCTTAAGCTGCGAGACAGCGCCATCCCTTCGCATTGTAGGTAACCCATAATGTCATAATTTATATTTTTTTCAGATTTTTTTTTATAGTACTCGACAGATATACACTAAACAGATATACACTTAACGTGCCCTCCGAAGCACGGAGGAGCTAGAGATAGTAAATTTTTGGTCACCCATCCAATGACCGACCAATGCGAAAGTTGCTGAACTTCAAGGATCGCAGCCGAACCACTTGCACCATCGAGCTCCTCTTAACAGAAGATATACAGATGGAATACGAAGTGATATAAGACAGTGTTTTTATTTTTAGGCCCTGCCAGAATATCAGAGCCGCAGCGGCTCTGGGGTTCAATTGCCTAATGGGATTGCTATGGCTGTGGCTATCGCTTAAGATTTCATTTTGATATTTCTGACCGCCGAAGGTTTTCAAATACCTTACGCTCATTTTCTTTAATATTGTTATTACCAATTCAAAAGAAAAAAAAGAGCGCGAGGCATTTCAAAACCTCCAGCGGTCAGAAATGAAAGAAATAAATCGTAAGCGATAGCGATAGCCATAGCAATCTCTTTAGGCATTTGGGCCCCTGGCGTCGCTGCGGCACTATGCTGAGGGAGCTAGTTGGCCTTTTATTTCGTGTTATTGCTTTGGTTTTGTGTAATCTTATTATTTAAGACTAATAAAAATTCTTTCTTTTTTGGCAATACTGTACTTCTAGGGCCCAAGAGGTTATATTTGTTTTTTTTTTGTAGAAAAGGTCTATTTAAAAAAAAAGCTTGGCGCTTCGCCGGATGCTCACTTTGCTCGCTCGGCTCGCGCGTTATGGTCACAACACTAACCTAACCTAACCTAATATGAAGTATCACTACTTGGGCCCTGGAAGTACAGTTTAGCCTCTTTCTTTTTATTTCCTTTTTTAGACAAGGAACAATATAAAAAACTACTTACCTACATCGCCTTCCATATGCCGATAGTCATTAACCATAATCACATAACACAGAAACACAAACAAATATTGTTTATCTGTATTATAAAATAAACTACATAGTTTTCGCGTCTGTTTGTATAGACGCTTACTCCGTCTAAACATATAACATAAGTTAGTTACATTATTTTACATGGAAGGTTTATATAATATAAATATGCTTAAAACAAGTCCGAGAACTTTAAACAATAGTTAACACTTAAGCAAACTAGGTACACGTAAAAACTTACTTTTTACGTGTACCTTTTTTTTGTGTCTCTCTGTGGCCCTGTTTATTTCACCCGACCACAGAGCTGGCTGAAATTAACAGGGAGGAGTCCCACATACCTTCTTCTTGTTCCCCCATTGGTTGAAGGCTGCGTAAAGCATTTCACAGACACAAAAAAAAGGTACACGTAAAAAGTAAGTTTATACTAAAACAATATGAATGCACAGGCCCGACTGCCATCAGTCTTCAGTTTAAATCTCAGCGTAAAAGAGTATAAGTAACTACGATTGTTCGCGTACGCGCGGATGTACTAATAATGGATAACTGGCCAAAACTGAGCGGGATGCACACACAAATTACTACGATACACCTAACACATAGTTTAAAATGATAATGTACAACAAAGAGAATAACATTGTATGTCAAGCAAAACATTAAGTTGTGTACGGTTCCGTACATTTAAAGAAAATACTGATTTCAGGGCTTGTTTACCGGTTAATTTTCAAACCTAAATCAGTGTTAAGTACATTAGGAGCGTTTTATTTAGGTTTGGCTCTAAATAACCTTAAAAACCGGTTTTCCTAAAGAGCGAAATCAAATAGGTTTTGAATCAATTTAGCGGTTTTTAAAGGGTTTCATTTCGCTCTTTCTGACGGCATCGATAATAAATGAATAACTTGACTCACTAGACGCTAGCAATCGTGTCAATAAATGCATCAATCTCTGAGCATTAACAAGTTATGACTTGATTAGTTCAAACAAAACAAACTTTAAGCGATGTCGACGCGATCACGTGTCGCTCTGGATTAAACCGGTTTATTAAGGTTTTAGGTACCGCTTTCATTTGGGACGCGCTCCGAACGCAACCTTTACTAAAAACCGGTACTAACCTTTATTTACCGGTATTTTCGAAACCGGTTTCAAGCCCTGACTGATTTAACATGTTGGCTGTTACGAGCTCGGTTACTAAATCTATCTAACCAATCAGCACACCCAAGAGCAACGTCGCAATCAGAACCAATATTGGTCACCTTATGAGCATTTGCTCAAACATAACTGAGGTGCGCCCGCCCCATCCACAAGGCTCCTCTAACCTCTTTTTGTGTTCTCTGAGTAATACCGTAAGTGGGTACAGACCATTAGACGAAGAACTTCTCATTTTGCTATTTTAAATGTATCTCCAAAAATACTCAAAATATACTCTCAGGAGTATGCAAACTAATAAAGAAGCAACTCCACGAGTAGGAGGGTTATTTCAGTCAAGACCCGTATTATGAAACATCCGAATCTTTTTCCTTTTTTTAAGTAGGAGTCAGAAAGCCTCTCTCCTACTTATTCATTAACGAAGATTAAGATCAGACTAGTTACTTTTTGTTTTGTTTATATCACTCAAGGGCCATTTGTCATTCAATGAACAGAGACAAAACATAGAATAAGTAATCCAATAAGTAGTCTATATTTATTAATGAGGAGGAATGAGTTTGTTTCGCCAGTTCATCTCAGAAAATTCTCACAATTTTGGAACTTGTGGTAGTTTACGATGGTTAGGGTCAAGAAATAAACTCAAAATTATAAAAGAATATAAAAGTACTTCATTGATTTAATTTGCTAATAAAGCCAGCCTGCCAGCCACCTTGCGCAAATCGTCACTCCATCGTGCCTGAGGACGTCCTACACTACGTTTGCCTAGACGCGGTCTCCACTCCAGAACTCGTCTACCCCAACGGTTATCGGTTCTTCGGCAAATATGGCCAGTCCACTGCCACTTTAGCTTGCTAATCCGGTGGGCTACGTCGATTACTCTGGTTCTCTGCCGGATTACCTCATTTCAGATGCGATCCTACAGAGAATCGCCGAGCATAGCCCTTTCCATAGCGCGCTGAGCGACTTTGAACCTGTGGACCAGCCGTACCGTCAGTGTCCACGTCTCGGCTCCGTATGTCATTACAGGTAGGACGCACTGATTGAAGACTTTCGTCTTTAGGTACTGTGGGATCGACGATATCAGGACTTGACGTAGCTTCCCAAATGCTGTCCAACCTAGCTGAATTCTTCTATTCACCTCGTCCTCAAAGTTGTTTCTACCTAACTGTGACAGATGAATGACATGACGAAGCTAAAAATGTTTCTTGTGGACAAGGGAACCCTAAAAACTAAAGACCGGTGCGGTCGTCTGCGAAACACCCAACTACTAAATTGCACAGATGAGTCAACAGGGAAAAATTCAGAGTCTTAAAAATGTAGGCGCTAGGAAATTGGATTGAATCAAACGAATGAAGTGCGGAGTTATATAAAATGTATGAAACCCGTAATACTATTATTATCATATGCCTATTAATGTCCCCCACTGCTGGGGCACAGGCCTTTCCTATGGATGGAGTAGGGAGAATTAAGCATCCACCACGCGGGCTCAGTTCGGATTGTTGTTGCTAATGACGTAAGCAACCAGGACGTTCGCCTAATGAGATTGCTTTGGAAAACGCTATCGCTCACGATTTCATTTAATAACCTGAGGTTTTCAAATGCCTCGCGCTTTTTTTTTCTTTTGCATTGGTAATAATAATATAAAAGAATATTTTGAAACCCTTCGGCGGTCAGAAATAACATAATGAAATCGTAAGCGATAGCGTTTTCCAAAGCAATCCCGTTAGGCGAATGGTCCCCAGGACCAACATAAAAAGAGCAACACGGCTGACGAGGGGAGTAGGCACACACAGCTTTCCTCTCTGTCGAATTGGGCATACAAACGATAAGTCATGCGTGTAACTACAGTTTTGTTTTAAACTTTCATGGTCACTAACATTACAGCAACAGTGGTGGAACAGTGGACAGTGGCACGGGTATCGAACGCAATAAAAGACTTCGTCGGAGGGTAGACCGATATGTCTGCCAATAA